TCGAACAATATTCTAAAATAGATCTGACAAAAGCATTAAAAAGTAAAGTTAATGTATTAGTATTATTGAAATATCTACTGTTTCTTATAACAAAACCAAGATTTTTAAAGGCTTTTGCTATTATTTTATTAAATGCGATCAATAAAAGAAAGCTTTAGATCGAATAATACGCCCAAATCCTTGACGATATTAACACGACCAAGAACATTTCTACCGACTTCAAAATTAAAACATGTTGGTTCCACCCTGCGTGGTAACGTCATAGTAGTACATTTATTGATATTCAAGTGCATGTTATTTACCTTACACCAGTGATCAAATGACATTCAGATCAGCCTGTAACGTTAAACTGTCTTCTAAGCAGCACACATTATTAAAGATTTTGAGGTCATCGGTATGTAGCAGGTACTCACAACGCAAGTATGTTGTAACATCACTGATAAAAATTAAAAATAATAGAGGACCCAGAACAGAACCTTGGGGTACCCTGATGTAGCTAAGACTGTACCAGACTTATATCCACGGAAGTCCACACATAATTGTCTATCAATGATGTATGAATGAAGGAAAGCTAAGAATCTAGATGTTAAACCGTATTTAGACAACTTCTGCAGTAGAACACCGTGATCTAAACAGTCAAAAGCTGTCGAAAAGTCAGTATAGATTACATCAACTTGCCAGCCATTATCCAGAACTGATGCCATGCCAGATTACTACACGTAGATCTACCCTTATAGAAACCATGTTGACTCGTCGATATTGACCGACTTACAGGAGAGAACAGAATATCAAAAAGAACAGACTCTAAAATTTGGCAATATTACTTAAAATAACAATAGTCCTGTAATTCTCTACCTGCGATCGATCGCCTTTCTTAAAAACAGGTGTTATTTTAGACAATTTCCATTTTCTAGGAAGAGTGGCAGATTTCAAGACAAATTGAAAAGATATGTCAAAGGCTCAGCAAGAACACGCGCACAGTCTTTTAGAAAACATGAATGTATGTAATCCAAGCCAGTGAAATATTTAGGCTTCAACCGTTTTATTCTATTCCGTACATGCTCCACATTAATAGTCACTATAGGGAGATATGATATATGCTCTGCAACGGAAACAATCAGCGGATGGTTGAGACGACGTGACTGGAAATAAAAAAAGTATCAACAATTTACTGTGGATTCCTGAACTCCTCATTTTCCAAAGACATATTGTTGACTATGCCTCATCTGTTGCTGCGCAAGTTAACAAAGGACCGAAATGTTTCACCGTCACCAAATATTAGGATTCTAAAACGATGATATAACAGCGCAAAAGTTGACTTGACTACATGCTCGTGCTCATTAGTCAAAAGTAGGAATCTTAAAAAATATACATGGTTGCCAGGTCAATAGTACGCTTAGCTAAGCACCGTATAAGACGACGGTTCAAGATAAATTTAATCTAAGGTGCACTTAAGGGCCATATGGTCAGTCGTTCCTTCAATTGTAGGACGCCTTGATGACCTCTTTGATTGTCATAGTATCACGTGCCAAAATCCCGTAACCTTTGTTTACTAGTCTGATCATTTACCAGTAATTTGAATGTTTCTTTATTAATGGTATAGTGCCCATTCCTAGGCCATAGCCATTCAATGATGTTCTTTTGGTGAATTTCATAGTTTATTGATTTATAATTTCATACGTAATATATCTTTCTTTGTCAGTGACTCAGTATTGTGTTGAAAAGAAGCCCTGTGTTTTTTCTCCGTTGCTTGGTTTTCTATCGAACATACCTTCTTCAAGGCCACTCATTGAACCTTCCTTCATAACGTTGGGTGGTTCGTGCTAGTCACCTTTCTCTGAGATAGTGGTGTGAGCGCCATTGATTTAACCTCCAGATTCTGAGGAGCAAACTTTCATTCAGAAGTCAGCATCACTCGGCGAACTTACGCTTTGTAGGTTATACCCTTGATACGCCCCTTCATAGATCAACACAATTCACAAAGTGCTTCTCATACATAGCACCTTTCCTTTATAATTGTCTACCATCAGATCTGAAAAGTTTGAGTACAATAATTTTAAAGTTAATATAAAGAAATTTGTTCTCGATAATACCTAATTTTATGCTAAGCTTTCATCTTGTAACTGCTGTGATTCTACATTTAATGTTAATGTTAATCTTATGTAGCCCTGGTTGGTACCATTGCAGCTATTAGCTGATATACCCGCCAGGTGAAATAAAGGCGTATTATTATTATTATTATTATTATTAAAAGTTAGGTTCTTTGTCTTTGATGACATGTAGCATGTATCTTTATGTAATTTTATTTTTATATTTGTTTATTTGTGCATGTTTTCTCACTTGTCACTTTTCATTTGTTTGTGTTTTGTTTACGAATCTGTTGCTGTTTACTTTTAATTTTTATATCTTCCCCCATATAATATAATATATTTTTTATTTTTTTAAGTTACTTCTAAGCATGGTTTCTGATTCTGCTACGTACTCTTTGGGCATTATACCATGCATAGGCTACAATTTCGTAAAAAAAAAGTTTTTTCTGCTTCAAATTTTCTTATTATCTTTTGTGTATTTTTCTTTGTATTTGCATGTACCTGATTTTAGCCCTGGTTGGTTCTGAAAAAACAGCTTTTGCTGATGTAATCCGCCAGGTAAAATAAAGGCCATTTAGTATTATTATTATTAATACCATTTTTTTTTCTTATACCGTCGGGCCACGTTCATTAATGCATGTCCTGAAGAAGACATGTTCGATAGAAAACCAAGTAACGGAGAAAAACCACAGAGCTTTTTTTTTCCAGCACAATACTGAATCACTGAGAAAGAAATATATAGCAGTAAAAAAAAAGGTTATGAGATTTTGGCACGTCTTTTCTCTCCTTTAGAAAGGCTGCGGTTTTTCTAGATTTCACTTGTTCCCTGTCAGCGTCAGCGCTCTTCTATTGTAACGTTATGTTTTCTTTTTGGATTGTAGGAAATTTCAGGCTGATAAAACAGATGATTTAAATCAAAAGCATGGAGAATTTGATGCAAATAGATATTTGTGACATAACCTCAGAATTGTAGGAACGACTGAGACGATACCGCCCTTAAACATAAGGTTCACTTTGATATGTAGTATATTTAGGCAAACCAGTGCAAACAGCCATCACTGATGTGGCTAAACAGGAAAAGTCTTGAAGCTTCAATGGGTTGTACACTAGTCATTGCAAATTGCGTTACCACAGCTGACTGGGCATCGCGGAAGATGCGAAGTGCAGACTGTGCATGGAAGGAGACGAAACAATTAAGCATGTTTTATCTAGGTGCAATGCGATTGTCACATGCACCTGGGGGAGTATAGTATTCCAAGCAGAAGACCTGGAGAATATTTCTCCAAATATTTTTTTTTACACCGACGCAGCCGCGCAGGCAAAAGCCTATAAATGCCAGGACACCGTGGCTGCTGTGAGGATCCCAAAGAAACCTTGTCAATCCGATTTTTGAACTGACAGCCTCCTCCTGTAGACTGTTCGACAATCTCGACACCCTCGGGACAATGGAGCGGTCGTATCGGCCAGAGCTGGAAGTACGATTTTTCACAGTCGGAATTACTAGTGCGAGCCATAATAGGACGAGTGAATCGCAGTGGAGGATCGTGAAAACCAACTACCCACTAACGTACGTGATTGACGACACTTGTCCATTTCCAATCATAGATGCCGGAAAACTAGTTCCTTGCTTCAGACGTATAATAATAATAAGCATATACGAGTATTGCCCAACAGTATACACCATTTACAAAACAATTAATGTACTAAATTTACCTAAAACTAACTTTAGCGAATCTACAAGTTTACACGACACTGGGTTCTTATTTCTGAAAACTGCAGCAGAAAATGCCACAGACGCTAGACAGTTTGTTCGCGCTTGCACACGTTTGATTAATAGGTGCTTTCATTAACCCTGCAATACTAACCTTCAATTGAAGTAGCGTGAATACTAACCATTCGTATATTTTACGACTGTGAAAAGGGCAGCAAAAAAAAGGTTTTCCAAAAGAATTTATTACAGACTTGTATTACATATGTTTATTTGGAGTTTCAAAAGAGTGTTAAATGATAAATTATTTATCGGCATCGCATGTTACACAACAACGGGCACGATGTTCTGCGCAAAATGCGAGTCGGCAATGGGTGCAGTATAGTGACGTCATTCGGCGTTTTTTTGAGGGACAGATATAACAAGTGGTGCGTCTCAGAGCAGGAGGTTCTGTTTGATCGTTCGGAAGTGGCAATCCAATTATATCACTGATTAAGAGCTGAGTGAGCGTTGTAAAGTTGGCACTCTTAAGCGTTGTTCTAACCATGGTCTTACCAATTCTTCATGCAGTTGATTCATAAAGGCCTTCCTAGTTATTGTCTGTTCACCCCGTTTTTGCAAATTATGGTTATATATTATCCATGCATTAATACTTGCCATATTGAGCATTCCGAAGAACATGCACAAGGGCCATCTGTGAGTTTTTCTCGAAAAACTTCTATTTCCACACATTGGATCAAATGCGTCTACCCCTCCTTTTGTCTGGTTGTAATGCAAGATAATCTCGGGTTTTTGGGTATTTTGACAAATTCTGGATCCCTCGTGCATGGTAGACAAGACTAAAACGCTTTTATTCTTTTAGTTTTGTAGGATAATAAAGTCTTTTGCTGGTCAAAACAGAATAAGAGCTTCCTACTTCTCTGTTTTGTAGGTTGAGCATTTCAGGAGGAATTTCGCGTTTGTTTTGTCTCAACGTTCCAAGCATCGTTAGGTTATATGGCGGTTTAATAACTGGTCAGCCAGACTAACAGAAGTAAACCAATTATCCATCGTGATGTTGCGGTTACTTCCATGTACATCTTTAGTCAATTTCTTGACGTAGTACTCTGCTAGTGGTACACCGTGAGTGCTGGTGTCTTTTCCAAGGTAAGGCTCTGCATTTAGCATATATATGGTCCCCACATCACATGTCATCACAATCTTTATTCCATATTTGGAAGGCTTGTTCGGAATGTACATTTTGAATGGACAGCGGCCTCTGAAGCCCAATAATTGCTCATCGATTGTGATGTAATTTCCCGGTTTATAGGACTGTTGCATTTTGTAATAAATTGATCCCAAATCTCTCTAATAGGCGCGAACTTATCGACAGTTCTTCTTTCGTTACGTGTCGCTTTATCATCAAATCGCAGATTATTGATTAGAAATTCAAACCTCTCACAACTCATCGTTGCCCTATAATAAGAACCCGATTTCCTCGAGTCAAACATTTCCCTAGTGCTCAAGTGATTGTCTTTTTGGGCACCAGCAAATATAAGCAACCCAATGAGGGCATTCAATTCCTGTCTGGTCGTGGTAGAAACAGTAGATTTAGCCACCTTGTAGTTTTCACATCTTATTGCAATGTGAGCATTTGTGTGCTCCAAAATTTTTCCAAAAATAGATTCGTCGAATAAACACTGGAATGCACCTGAAGGACTATCGGCATCGCGTGCCGCCCCAGATGGACCTTGCATCACGTGAACGATGTTTCGTTGGGCAACGCGCTTACGTATGTTGGACACTGTACACCATCGGTGACCGTTTTTGCCCCGCATCCCCTTGTTGAGAATAGTTTCATGTGGTTTATCTCCCAAGTTATGTAGATCTTCATTATCGCTAATATCCTGATTACTTCACCCTCTTTCTGCTTGAGAGAAGTTTTCTATATTGGGTCTCTGTGTTGCAATCTCCTGGTCATTTGATACACTTTGTTCATCTTCCAAATTTTGTGCAGCAAGCTGGTCTACTTGGCCATCTCCTTGATCACACTCTACTGGAAAATGTTCCTGTGTTGGCTTCGACCCTCTATTAATTCTTCTCCGCTTTCTATAGTTACATTCATCAGAGTCAGTGCTTTCTCTATCAGATGTTTCGGGCTCATATTCTGATTCAGAAAGACTGAAATCTTCTTCCAAGTTATCCTCAGTTTCTGATCCGCTAGAAAGCCTCCAAAAATCTTCTAGTTCATCATCAGATTTTGGTATTAGGTCTTCTAGTTCCTTCTGAGATAAAGGCCTTATGTCTTCCCACTTCTTGGCCATGCTGTAGTCAACTGAATTCTAAAATAATTCAAAAAATCTTCGTATATGCCCTAAAAAATTATAACGTAAATACTAAGCTTTCGTAAAAATACGACGAGGCTTCGATTACACACACGTGCGTTAGGTGAATTACTATGACACTAGTCTGCGGTGGTACAGTACATCAACTGAGGAAGCTACACGTGCGGTCAAAATCTTACGTTGGATACATGGTTGCCAATTCTCAAAAAAGAAAAATGCTTTCGTATATTTTACGAATGGTATGGTTAGTATTATAGGGTTAATATATTTGTTTGAGCTATTTTACATAAAAACGTGTAATGATTTCTAGTATTAAGTCTCGGTACAAAAATATTTAGCTGTGACAACAGGTCAACAGAGTCAGTTTTGCCATTTAGTAGTTTATGCGAAAACAAAACAGACGCCTGACCTCTACGGCTCTCTAAAGTTTGAAAGTTGAATCTATCCACAAGTATCACATAATCACTACCTCTTTGTGGATATATCCCGTCAAGCTTAAAAGATAAGTACTTTAGAAATTTTATTTGAACCGTTTCGATACACGCCTTATAAATATTGTAAATTGGGTTCCATATTAGTGAACAGTATTCTAATTTCGACCTGACTAGACTAGAATATAATAAAGTAGTACCGACAAATCAGTAAAAAGCTACAGTTTCTTATGATAAAGCCATATGATCGAAACGCATTCATAATATATTGATTAATATGTGAGTTGAATGTTAACTGGCTGCCAAAGCAAACGCCTAGTTCTTTGATTGTGACAGTTCTCGAAAGGGCTATACCATTAATTGTATAAGGATATAGTATGGTGGAACGTCGGCTGAAGGTTACTATTCTGCATTTGGGGTATTTAAATGCAGATGATTTCTAAGACACCAGTCATGTAAAACATCGATCTGCCATTGCAGGGCAGCACAGTCTTCTAGACATGCAATGAACGCATACATTTTTAGATAGTCCTCAAACATTAATCTGTTCCATTCCAGTGAAGTGCATAGGTCATTAACATATAACAAAAATAATAGAGGTCCCAAATTGGACCTCTGTGGTACTCTACTTAGATTTAAGAAAGGACTATGAAGGCCTAAAGAAAAAAGTTTGTGGAGCAAAATACTGTGACTGATTTTATCAAATGCCTTTTAAAGGTCAGCATAGACAGTATCTACCTGACCTCGTTGATCTATTGTTTCGAAGATTGCAAGGTTACTAATAGTTGTCGAGAACGTACAAGATCATGCTGGTAAACTGAAATGTAATGTTTTGCACTTTCATGTAAAATAATTTCTAAGAGTTTCGCTGGATTGCAGAGAAGAGAAATTGGTCTGTAGTTGCTTATAACATTTAACTGTTGCGACTTGTGTATAGAGCATACCTTGGCAACCTTCCACACTTCAGGAAAAGTTGATGTCATGAGAATTCGGTTGAAAATATCTTTAAGTGGGTGAAGTAGAACCATTATGCAATCTTTGAGAAAAAATCTGATCATGACCTGACGTTAGTTTATTTTTTAATTTCTTTCCTGCCTTCAATATTTTTTCCTCCTTTATTTACTCGACACACATCCAATGTATCAATGAGATTGGGGCTGAATGTTAGGTTCTCTTCGGCATCATTGACAACCGAAGTGAGGGTGCTCTCAAAAAAAACTGCCAATTATTGACTACACTTTTAGAATCACTAAACGTTTCATTATTATACATCATCTTGGCTGGGATTCTGGAGGTTCTGTTTTTTTGGGTGAATAAATGACCAAAATGATTTAGGATTCAGCATTAACCGATTTTGAATATGCTGAAGATAACATTGATAATCTTCCTTAATTTTCTGTTTCAGTTTCAGTCTGGTATTTCTAAAAAGTTCGTATTCAGCTAAGATTCCGGCTGATTTATGCCTTTTGTGTAATTTTGACTTATGCTTAACAAGTTTGGTAGCTTCCCTTGTATACCACACGGGATATTTATGTCGAAAAACTTTATGAAGTGGCACATGGTCATCAAATATTTTGTATAATGTTTTATAAGAAATATCCACAGCTGCATTCACGTCATCTATATCTACCATTTTATATTTATTTACTCATATTGTTTGTTATCTTTGTACATTGAGTGAATAAATATTATTATTATTATTATTATTATTATTACCAAAACCTCCCAGCTTGTATTCTGCAGGCTGCTGTAAAGTGAGATGAAGACTGTTTTTTTAAAATTGTAACATTTATGATGGCCAGTTGTAGCTTGATGAACTTCTTATAAGTGGCCCCTCTTTGTATTATCCCATCCACCTTATAATTTCCTTGACCTACTTCTTCAATCATTCGTCAAACCCGGTCTGACACTGGTAAGATTCCAATCAGACGGTCTATGATACGTTTATACTGGAGACGTGTATAATACGGACAAATGGGAGGATTGTCTGGGGAATTCTCGGGTTTTAGATCCCGTTTAGTCTTAGCGACTACACAAGGTGCGCACTGTCTTCCTTTATGGGATCCCACAGTCGTGTGTATAGCGGCAATATGGAAGTAGATGTACGTTTTACGTGCGAAAAGTCCGGATGTGTTACGTTTAGCGGCAAAGAAGCGATGCTCGAAATGGAAATAGGAACAGGTAGTGGGTTGCGAAAGTATATTGGGACGCAAAAGGGTCGTAGTTGTTTTAAAAATATGGAGGCAGGTAGGCGATCTTAAACCTTACGCATGAAATAAGGCGGATGGACCATGTAAGGCCGATTACTATAAAGTCCTGGTTTTTGTCATCGCATGCCAAATCGCTTCTGCTAACACTAACACACATCGAAGTAGAGAACACAGACGCGCCAGAAAGTCACTTGCGTCGCTGCTTTGTCAATTAGATCGCTCGCTTTTTTCACGTCGGTCATCGACGTTAAAATCATGATCCATGCTGCAGAACGCAAGTTTGCAAGTAAATAAACTGTTATTCTTTCTTTGTGTTTTGTTACTCTATAACTAGTTCCAATTTCTGTACTTTGCAGTAGCAGTCTAGTACATCTTTACCAACTATCTGAGAGTATTTTGCAAAAAAAACAAACGGATATCTTGTTATCTCTATGTACATCAACAAAAGATAGATTCAAAAAGAGAGATAAAAAAATTAATATCTCAAAAACAGTGAAACTTTTACTAGTGTCATTTTTGGTATGTGTAGATCTACCCTTCGCCAATCGTCCTTTTTTTTTGTCGTAATGTTTACCGGATATATGTATATATATATATATATAATAACTAATTTCCCCGTTGGTGTAGCGTGGGAAGTAAAACATCAACGAACAAACCACTGCGTGTCATCCCGCCTAACCTCTTTTTTCATCCGTGTATCCATCAAGCGCATTTGTGACCCTCGCTTTCTCATTATCTTATCCACTCCTCACTTTTTGTGTAGCTTTCAGGACGTTTTACCATAATTCTCCTTCTTTGAAATAACCGTAGGCTCATTTGCCAGCTACCGCTTCACACAGCTGGAAAACGGGAAACATTTTCCGGGGACATTAATTCAAATGCAAACAGATGTCAACGTTAGCATTGAAAATACGGACGACCCTTCCGACCTTTTATAAGCACACAGCTACAGTTGGTATTTTTGTAGTACCACAATACAGAAGCCACTTAACATGAACGGTATCATATGTCAGGGCGCAAAAGAAAATTATATACAGGGTGCTCCTTAATGATACGCGAATATTTAAGGGCGTGAATCTACATGAAAATTTAATGTTCGTTTGCTTTATAAGCTATGGTCCAAAAATGTTTCCTTACAAAAACTCTGGGTGTTGATGTTTTAGGAAAAAAATTGAAATTAATTAATATTTTCAGATATTTTACTGGTATTAAGTACGTAGTAAAAGTTAATGAATTTGCTCAATGCAAAAATAATTTTTAGCTTTAACAGTGGCGTGCGTAAGGGTATTGACTTCGATATTTTTTAAGAAAAAAACTGGTACGCAACGGTCTTTTTGCCAAATAAACATTATTTTTGGATTCCCAGTTCAATTTAATGCAAATGATCTCTATTGAATTGCTTTCCTTTGATGCCCCATTTTTCAGTAAAAACATAAAAACCGTTATATTGTCTAACTTGCAAAATTATTATTAATCTAATTGGAAAACTTAAACACTTTAGGGGTAATGAACAACAACAACTGACAACATAAAAATAACATTATAACCAACGAAATGATTACAAAAATTGTTGAAAATACCCCCTTCATTTAGTATGCATACTTCCGCCCTCCTTCTCATGGAATTGCGTACTCGTTTAAATATCCCTGGAATATTTTTTATTCTATCACAAGCTGCAACTATTCTTCCTCCTAATTTCTCTACAGTGTTAATGGGACTTGTGTACACTAGTGTCTTAACCCATTAACGCCCGCTGTACTGAAGCGAGTACACTCGTGTTTGTTCCTCTCAGAGCCATTCCTGAGTCAACCACAGAAATACTACCTTTTATAAACATTTGTAGATGGTACATGCGACAGGGCGCAAGAGCCATTTTTCATAAATTCTGTGAGTGCGACGTTGTTTACAGTATTAGAAGTTATTGCTTATTTGATCTAAGGTAAGTTCGGCTTTTACATATATTTTTTTCATTGAGGTGACCATCTAATAAGCTAAACTTTTTATATTATGTATATGTAAAGGTTGTTCGATTGCTTTGCCGGGCATAAACTATTTTAACTGATTTGATGTAATTAGAATGTATGTTCAAGTTTGACTGTGCTCAAATGAGTACACTGGGCAAATTCGTGATCATTCGACTAATGCTATTTTTTTTGTGTTAGATATGTGTAAACCGTTTTTCGATGATCTTGTTAAAACCTACGGGTATTACAATTTTTTGCCTGATGCTCTAGATGATTTAAAATGTAACGATGATATTGTGGGCTTGTTTCCAGACGTACATTATTTTGACTGACGAGGAGGAATTGGACGAAAACCAACTGATGGCAAATGGAATGCCGCAAGATGTTTCTGGTCGTTTATCTGCTGTTTCGCCAAAGTTCAGCTAATGACGAGTCCTACAGCAGCGACGAAAAGCCTTGAGTGAAGTGCGGAAACGTCAAATATACAGGGTGACTTCGAAGTTGAGTCATTTATTTTAACAGTGAGTAGATCTGATCAAAAGAAATGTTTTTTTCCTTTACCATTTTTCTGGTAAAATTAAAGTAACAAAGTTATAGCCCTTTGGAAGTTTGAGTACCGCCCTGTCTCAATAATAATATCATGTGCTCGTGTTTGGCAACAACGGATATAATACGCCTTATCGGTTCATCGCATCGGAAACAAAAAAGCGAAAGAATTTGGAACGATGTTTTTACAATTATTTTATTCAGTTCAGTTATACATACAGTTAGTGTCAGTCGGTAACGCGTGTGAATAGTGTCTGTTGCGTGGCTTAAACGAAATGAAAAATGGCACATGTTTATGCGGATCGGTTTCCCAATCGAGTGCAACCAACCCCTCGTGCCTTTGTTAATGTAGTACAACGGGCTCGTGAATCAGGTGACTTAAGACCTCACAGGGGACCTCACGATCAAATACAGGTCCGCACTGAAATACTTGTCGGGAGGATACTTTATAAAACAAGGTAAACATTTTTTTTTAATTTTTTTATATTTTTTCACACATATTTTGGTTTATCTTCCTACAATCATTATTTGAAAATTAATGACTCAACTTCAAAGTCACCCTGTATATACTAAGTGACATATAAATCAGAACACCCAGTTTAAATGGTTTTATTTTAATAAAATTGGTGAATGTATTTATCTTACTGTAAATAACAAGTGAAAAAATGTTCAGCCTTATCAGTTGGACATTCCGGTTTTTATACTGCTTTTTTTTAATTCACTAATTGCTCTAAAAATGAATATTTCAGCCGCAGTAAAGAATCAACGTTGGCGGATTTTGGTTCATGACATCCTTTACGATCGGTTACGATGCCTAGAGTACGGAGACCTGTACGATTTCGTCAACTTAGTGAGTTTGATAGGGGCCGTGTAGTGGGAACTCGGGAAGCTGGACTTTCTTTTCGGGCAATTGCAGTTAGAGTGCAAAGAAGTGTAGACACTGTGGTTAGGTGTTGTCAAGCATAGCTTCGAGAAGGACGTACGCAAAGGGCAAGGGGCACTGGACGCCGCCGTAGAACAACAGGCCGTGAAGATCGCCGCCTAAGATTATTGGCCTTAAGGGACCGTTTGTCCACTACCAGGTCCATTGCAAATGAATGGTTTGCAGAACACGGAAGACCTATTGGCATGCGAAGTGTTTACCGACGAATGAGAAGTTTTGGCTTGTTTTCATACCGGCCACACTGGGTCCTCCCTTTAACTCGAGAACACCGACGTAATCGCCTTGAGTGGTGCAGACAACGGTCACTCTGGGATCAGGAATGGAACAGTATTGTCTTTAGTGACGAGTCTCGATTTTGTTTAGGCATGCACGATGGTCGTGCCAGTGTTAGAAGGCGACGTGGCGAAAGGAGGAATCCACAGTTTTTTGTTGAAAGACATGTTAATCACACTGTTGGAGTTATGGTTTGGGGTGCTATAGCTTATGGTTCCAGGTCACCTTTAATCTTCATCAGACGTAACATGAACGCGCAGCGTTATATCCACGAAGTTCTAGAACCCCATCTTTTACCCTATTTTGACACCCTGGCAGATCCAACTTTCCAACAAGATAATGCCCGACCACATGTTGCAAGAGTCACAATAGACTTCTTTCAACATAATGATGTCACATTGTTACGATGGCCACCAAGACCTCCCGACTTATCCCCAATTGAGCACGTATGGGATATGATGGGTAAGAGATTGCTCAATTTGCAACGTCCTCCTCAGACTCTAGAAGCACTTCGAGAGGAGTTGGTGGTTGCCTGGAATGAGATACCACAGGAGGACATTGACCACTTGATCAGAAGCATGCCTAGGCGCGTTGGAGAATGCGTAGCACATCAGGGTGCATCCACACATTATTAAAGGTCAAAGGGCTTTAAAGCAGTGCAATCATTTTGAAATTTTTATTATTTACTTATTATGCTTCATTAAGTACTTATACAAAGTTTTATTAAAATAAAACCATTTAAACTGGGTGTTCGGATTTATATGTCACTTAGTATATATTGTCGATTATATATCTATGCATCTCAAAATAGTCGGCACAATTTCAACACCACCAAAGAAGAAATGAAAACCTTCATAAATTCGGATATTTTCCTGCGAAGCCAGAGAGGCAATTACGATGTGCAGTATGCCATTCAAGGGTTTGTCAACACTATGTATTGAACGTGCATGCTTCAAGTTACATCATACACAATAAACGGTTTCGCCCATTGTACTCAAATGAGTACAGATATTTTTTTGGAAAAAATAATAAAATATATATAGTTCTATGATCTTCAGTTTTTATTTTAGTCCTAGTAACTTAACTTATATACGTAATATCCGTTTTCCATGTTCAAACTTAATTTGGGCGTTAATGGGTTAAGATGGTCCCACAAAAAGAAATCTAAACTGTTGAGGTCTGTGGACCTTGGTGACCATTCTTGGGACCCACCTACAAAAGGTCACACGCCTTGGAAAATCAATGAGAAGTAATACCTGTACTCTTATAATATGGTAATGATATAAGAAAAAATCCACTAAAGTTCTCCAAACAATTTGATGGCAAATATTTAAGTGTCTAGCGATCTTCCTCGTACTCGTTTCAGGAAGTTCTTCGACTTCGTGCAACACTGCTTCCTCAATTTGAGGTGTTCTCACACTTAGAGGTCTACCTTCGCATGTTCCTTTTCGGACAGAACCAGTTTCAAGAAGACGACGATGAATATTAGAAAAGGTTCCACTATCTGGGAAAGCACGATCGGGATATCTCTGGTGATAAATCCGTCTGGCTTGCTCACCATTACCGTCGGCAAGGCCATATACGTTTTTTCTGCATTTGATTAAGTCATCATTATTAATAAGATTGTAAAAACTAAATAATGAAAAACATGTCTCAGCGAACTGATTTGAATAACAGAGACTTGTCAGATGTCAAAAGCCAGTGACATATTCCAGAGCAACTAGATATTTATTGCTAAATTGCATTCTTCTATTATTACATTAATTTTATCAATTCTAGAGAGATCATTTGCTTTTAATTGAACGGGGAATTCAAAAATAATCTTTATTTGGCAAAAAACCATTGGCGTACCATTTTTTCTTAAAAAATATCGAAGTCAATTCCCGTACGCACGCCACTGTTAAAGCTAAAAATTATTTTTGCATTGAAAAATACTCAACTTTATTAACTTTGACTATGTACTAAATATGAGTAAAATATCTGAAAATATTAATTAATTTCCATTTTTTTCCCTAAAACTTCAACATTCCGAGTTTTTGTACCATTTTTGGACCATAGTTTACAAGCAAACTAACATTAATTTTTCATGTAGATTCACACCCTTAAATATTCGCATATCATTAAGTAGTGCCCTGTATAGAGTACATACCGTTCTAAGCACAATACGTGTATGTAACATTGAGACATATCTGTCCATTTTATAAGAAAAGTTGCTGACCGACAGATATTGTCCTGTCTTAGCTATGAACTGGAAAGGACAATGAATAATAAAAATAAAAGGTTAAATATATGGAATATAGTTAATTCGTTTGTACCGCCATGTGGCTAGCAAAATACGTTGGCAGCCCCGTCATTCCCCCATCAACGTACCTTGAAAGTAGTCGAAGGAACTTTATCGCGCCAAAAGACGTAATTCAAAAGCAATTATTGTATTGCTGGATATGAGTCAAAAGATGTATAGAATCTGGCCCATTTCTATAAACCAATAAATGTAGTGACTCTGGTGGTGGTACCATTGGAGTCAATCTGATCTTTCCACTGAAGCAACATAATCCAGGGGCTTCCTTTTTGAACTTGAAAACCTTGCAATATGGACTCACAACGTTCATGTGTCCAATAGCAACGATTTGTTGTAATTCTGAAAAATATTCTTCGCTCAACTTAACGTATAAGAAAGCACATAATTACTAGTGTAAGCTTACGAAATATCTCGAACACATTTTTGCATGCGAGCCCAACCCTGTAGCGCACAAAACCTTTCCAGAAGGTTCACAAGGCTGCTTAGTGTCACTCAGCGCTACGGCCATTACGCCTCTTTATATTACAAATTCCATTCCTTCTCTGGGTACTTGTTCCCAGGATAAACTTTCTTAAAAATACGGGCGAGGCTGGCGATGCAGTTCAATTGTTGCGTGGAGGAGATCGCTTCTCAGACCAAGTAGTGCCCTTTGTGGACTTGATTAGAGTGTTGATGTGCTATTGGGTGTAGTGTTTTGGTTACCTGAAAGGTGAGCAATCACTGAGTATTTCCTTTATTCTGCTGTACTGCATTTGATCGTATAGCCCTAGTTATAAACATATACTAAGTGACATATAAATCCGAACACCCAGTTTAAATGGTTTTATTTTAGTAAAATTTTGTATAAGTACTTAATGAAGCATAATAAGTAAATGGTAAAAATTTCAAAATGATTGCACTGCTTTAAAGCCCCT